ATACATATATGTTGTTATCTAGCCGATGCCTCTCTCCGTCTCATCCGCGCATTCTTTCCACACGCACTGAAAGGGGGAAAGGGGGGTAGGGAGCTAGAATGTGGCGTCATCATTTCCAATAAAGAAACGCGCTCCGCCGAGATGGAAGTAAAGATGGCCAACCAATAAAAGGACGTCCGATGCCGCCGCTCGCCTTCTTGCATCGCAGTTGAAGGTCAAGTTGTAATATTATATTGATATATTATATTGATGATATTATATTATATAGATAGTTGTGATTGCACTTCTTTAGCAGTCGGTCACAGAACAATCTAGAAATAACCGCTTCGTATTGTGCAAAACGTCGCGCACCGCCTCTTTCAACGCAGTTGCAACACCAGGGGCATCGTCCTCGATGCCGCTGAATAATGAATAATGAAAAATCAGAAGAAACCCTGGTAAGTGCCTCCTTTAAATTGCCTTGAGCTGTTCTTTTATTTTTCTTTACTGCGTCACCTTTCTCTTAACAGTTCAAGTTTAATTCCCGCACAATGCACTGGCTTGATAATATATTAGGTAATAGCGAGTGCATTACCCAAGCCTGCCACGTGCCACATCAGCCATCTTGTTTGGTTATATGTACACAGTACACAAGAAAATTGATCTCGCATAATTAATTTTGGCTCGACCTGGGAATCGAACCCGGTACCTAGCTTTCCACCATTTTCTGATTCTTCGACCCGGATTCGAAGGGAGAGCCTGTGACCGCACCACATGCGTTTGTATATATGTATAGATAGGACATATATATATGTAGTTTATTTATTAGTAAAATGTATTACATATTACTAGCTTGCCAGGCCGACGTTGCTCTGCCCTTTTGCCCTTTTGGCGACCCACTGTAAAAATCCTTAAATTCGCAAAAAAAAAAAACAAATTTTGGGTCCCTCATGGGTAAAAAAACTATCCTGTCTCTCAAGTTGGACTAAAATGCACACGGTGTGCAAATTTTATTAAAATCGGTTAAGTAGTTTAGGACTCCATTGCGGACAAACCATGTGACACGTACTTTATATATATTAAGATGTACTTTATTATCATTTGTTATGTATTCTTTTATTCTATTGCCACACCTACGTCGAATTCTTACTACTCCATGGGTTGATTCATAGAATACTACAATACATAGATAATAGAACAGGGAAGTGGGCGGGAGGCTCGTGTAGCCACTGACATTTCAATTCACACCTATAAATGTCAACACAATAAATCGTTTCCAATTTTCGTGTCAAGCGTAGCTGCATGCAAATTATTTAAAAAATGGCCAATTGTGTAATAATTACGTGCCTGAAGAACAGCAGAAAATGGAATTTAAATAAAGTAGACATATCCTACAACCAGTAAGTCAAAACTATGTATATTTTGTGAATATTTGAAACAAAAATAAATAAATATTGATGTATCAAAAACATTAATCAAAAAATCTAAAATGTGTAGACTCGACTCAGTCTGTCAATACAACGAATCGGGTTTATAGTAGTGATAATACGACGTATTTCCTTGTAAGTGTGCTCCCGGTGACACCGATCCTCGTACAAAATAAAGTTGACAGTCATTATATTGTGTATAATACACAATATAATGACTGATATACATATAATGACAATATATATACATATATATATATATATATATATATATATATATATATATATATATATTGTTACGAGCTTGAGGTTCGTGACAATAAAATATTGCCGATAGAATTACCTAAATTAACACTTTATTTCACTTTACACTAATTAAAGTTAAAAACACCAATAATTAATCACACTGATTCACTTTATCTCGCTCCGAAGCTTCGCTTGTCTCGCCAAATCCAATACTTCCCCGATCGCACTTTGCAGCGCCTATAAATACACCTTAGCACCGAAAAATCCAGAACATTCAAGTACTCGTAAATACACGCGCCAATCGACTAAGCATCGAAAGTTCGAGTGTCGGGCTTCTAGAAGCTTAGTTCTTCGTTTCGACAACAGATGGCGCTGTCGGTTAAAAAAATTTGTCATGTCATTTTCTGGAAAGCTCTCTCCTCGCTCTGTTACCCGACACTAGATGGCGTTAGTGCCATGAGATGAGATGTCAACTTAGCCGCGCAACAGTATTCTATGGGTTGACTGGTAGAGAACACCTCAAGGCATTAAGTCCGCCCTTGTATTCTTTTGTTTTAAGGATGCAATGAAGAATAAAAATACATAAATAAATAAATGGCTTTCTTTTATGTAATTCTATATAAAAATATGGAAAGACAAGTTGTAGTGACAAATTTTCTAACCGCATCATTTTGGCGACAAAATATGCATCGCTTTCGTTTTCGTGGCGATAAGGCTTCTGTTAAGATGTTACCACACCAGTGGATCGATGGTCGATCGATGGCATCTATCGATAGTTGAGTGGGTTAGTCGACGTCGATCGATAATTTCTATCACACCAATCGATCGACGGCATAGTTAGATGGTAGAACGGATGGTCGACGTCAATCGATCTGCTTGGTTATTCGAGGACCCGCTCTTCTCCACTGACCGCATTTTGAAAGATACTGATGCCCGCAAACACATCGTTATCATCTTAACCCTTAGGAGTATAATGAAATGATTCGCTACGGGTGAAACGTGTCTTTACAGCCTTTATACGCCCCACTGCTGGGCACAAGCCTCCACTAATTTCTGGCTGGGTTGAGGAGAATTGATCGGAGAATTGACGCGTAGCGTACCGCGCTGCTTTAGAGTGTGTCAATGGACATTTAGTAAAAGTTAACAGTAAAACTTTAAAAAAGAACCAACAGTTTTTTGGTAATAACAAGGAAGAACGGAGTCAGTCAGAGATAATGATTTAAATAGTTTATTAACATTTAATTTGTAACTATGATAAATATAGTTTTTTCAATAAGTAAAAAAATCAGAGGCACTCGAAGGCCCAGACGGCGTAAGAGTTTCTCGTTCAATTTATAGAATTAACCCTTCGGGACAGTCTAATATTGTAGGCTTAAATGCCTACACGGAACTGTTTTATGAGCAATAATTTGTTAAGTAAAAAGTTTCAGAAGTATACCGGATAACACCTTATATTTTATGAATTATTTCCCACTACTAACAGAGAATAAACAATTTTTAAATATAACACTAGCGTTATATTTACAACTTAATTGCGGTGGAGCCTTATATAAAGTTTTTTTTGGCTGGTATGGAAATATGCTTGTTCATTGTATAGAAATAATTTCTATACATTTAATAAAACCACTTATATGAATTTTTTATCGCGTTAAATTAACTTATTTTTAATTCTCGACGTTTGGGGTGCTTTATAGCACCCATGGTCATGAGGGGGGGGGTAGAGATGTTTGGCGTCCCATTTTCATAGTTAGCCCGGCTAATCTTCAAATTTCGAATATTAATTTTTTTTTAATTTATGGTCCGATCTACGCAGAACGAGCTTACAATATCTTAGTCTTGTAGTGGTATGCGTGGCTTTGGATTTAATTTTGTTAATTATAGGATCCTTAGTAGATGCCAGCACCCATACATCCTCTCTATTGAAATTAGGATGTTTTTTAATTCCAATAGCTTCGGGTATCATCCTTGATAAGAATCGGTGCTCTTTTGCGAATATTTGTGGTTTATTAAATCTGATGTAATGGTGGGGACGATCTTGAACACGTTCATAGACTGCAGACTTCCCGGAGCGTCGGTGCTTCAGTTCAGCTATATGTTCTTAAACGCGGCTTTTAATAGATGTTTTTGTTTGTTCTACGTAAGAAAAAAAACTGAAGGTAGCCGGGCTAGCTATGAAATAGGGACGCCAAACATCTCAGTCCCCCACGTGACCATGGGTGTTGTTAAGCACCCGAAACGACGGGAATTAAAAATAAGTTAACCCATTAGTGGCCAAAATCAAATAAAAAACGTTTTTAACGAAAAATATTTATTTTGTTAATCTGGGCAGGACTAGAAAACATAAAAAGAAACAAAATTATTTTTTTAATTATTTTTTGTTTGAGTACAGCGGCCACTTATATGTGTAATTTTCCGAAGCATGACTTTTCAATGCAGAGTATTTTCAAACACTTCTTGCATCCCTATCGGACCCTTGCATGGCAAATGAGGCATCGTAAATGCTTTTCAAGCATCCTTGAGTAGTGACCTGAACCATTTTGAGTCAGTCTTTTGACCAAAGAAGAATATGATCTGGCTCTTTTTAGAGTTTCTTGTCGCAAATAGTATCTGGCAAGACTATGTCGAAGCAAGAGTTGATCCATCCATCCATCCTTGCTCATAAACATTTAAACGCCAAGCGTTTGAAACGGCCATGTCCAACAAGTATGTAAATAAAACTCACCACCACTTTTTTCCAGGAATCCCGATTCTGTATAATGATATGGACTGATCAAGGTCATCGACTCCACCTTTACTGTAGTTTTCAAATAAAATCGGAATCCTTACATCGGTTTTCTCTATTATTTCTGGGCACATAGTTAGTAGTACAAATACGCCCCATTGATTGAATCTAGTCGTCAGTATGTCGGCTAGGGATCTAATTTTGAACATTTTATTTCTGGAATTTGATATTTCATCGTTACTCACAAGATGAAGATACGTTTTTATTTTACGAAATTTATTACTCGTCATAGCTCTTGAAACTAGAGCAACTCTGACGTCCTCATCCAGTCATCAATATATTACTTCCCGAGGCTATTTGTGATATCCCGACAAAATCAAAATACCAATGAACTTCTTCAGGTCTGATAAATCAAGTTGAAAAGAATGTCTATTGTTTTGATTAGCATACAAAATACTATTACATAATACAAGCTGTAATACTTATTCATTCAATATTTTTTCAAAAATCTGTACAGGATTTTGGTCTTTCAGCTGTTCCTTTATAGAATTTTGTTTGTCTTGCACCTCAGACGTATGCTGATGGACAAAAGTATAGGATAGTGAACATTTTCTCCAGGCTGAAGTTTACTGCCACTGCTGAATGTTAGGCTTCCGACGAAATCCTTTTACTACTTTTGTAGGATGAAAAAGTACCTTCATTGCGTACCATAACTTCAATATTTTCGAGCACATCTCGTGACAACGTATAACAACCCTATCTTCATCAGACTCTTCCATTTCGTCAGTCACGATACAGGAATCAGGTGGTATTATCGCCAAATCATTTTCACGATCATCATCATCAGACTCTGCAATTGCTTCCTCAGGTGTTATAAAGCTATTTATACCGAAAAACATCTTGCAACTCATTGTTGGTAAATTGGAACAAAGTTGTATTTTTTATCTATTGAAGTAACCAGTGTACTCAACTGAGTACATTAGTAAAAATCTTCATCTAAAGTTAGTAATAAACAATAACTGTTTCAAATTTGTAACTCACATTATAGACTACACTATATCTAATCACAATTATTACAAAAAACAACATTTACACAAATAATAATAATAAAATGTGATAAAAATACTACTCACTTCCACGCTAGTCCAATAACATGAAATCCGGTTGCTCCAAACGACACATATTTTAGAAACACCCTCAATTTGCACGACTTAAATAAAATATGAGTCTACCCTCTATTTCAATTAATAAAATAAAAACTAATAAACCCTCACAGATTTATTCATTTAATTTTTAAATAACTGTACTCGTTTGAGTACAGCGACAGAGAATGGGTTAATTAAACGCGATGAAATCCGTATAAGTGTTCGCGTATATATAGGAAATAACTATATTTGTCTTAATTACGTAAGTCGGAGACTATATGACGTAAGCCAAAAATACATAATGACGGAGATGTAGAGTTGGAAATTTTCGACCTTAAATTAATGTCGAACAAATGTGTGACAGTTACATTTTTTGCTTTGTTACATTTGTACATTGTTACAGTGAACAAGTGCGTACATTAAAGGTAATAAGTTAAGTAGATCATTCCAAATATTAAAAAAAAACAAGAACACTTGTGCAGTTATTTTACTTATATCATATATTACATTGCAGTGATCAGACAAATATCACATGTTTTATATAAATAATATGTAAAGAGAACTCTATGTAATCCGAAGAAGCACCCTCTTCCTATAAAAATGGTACGGTAATCACAATAACAAAACATTAAATTATTATGAAAATTATGGTTCACATATATGTAAATATTATAATAAAAATAACTTTTGTTATTATGAATGGAGACATACTCAAAATTGATAAAAAAAATTTGAATTCCATTTATGCGATAAAAAGTTTTTAAATGGTGGGACGTAACAAAAAGGATTATTGTTACGTTCAGATGAAAGATGGAAAGTTTGTTCTAATTTTTGAGATCACTGTCACAGACCATTTGTGCTCTCTGAAAAATAGATTCAACAACAAGCTTCGGGTCCCGCGCCTACATATTACCAACATATGTCAGAGTCGACAGAGGTATCTAGAAGCGAGCTTCCATAAAACATACATCAAGCCTCTGAATAAGATAAGACAGTTTTTACTATTTGTCAAGCGTAATTTTCCCCTGCAAGATGTAGAAGTGTACAAGATAAATAATTGTGATTTTAGTTTCTATTACATAGGACAAACTTAGGTATCAACAAAACTGGTGTAAAAGAACACATGTGCGATGTGAAGAATAAACGCTCCGGGAAGTCTGCAGTCTGTAAACATGGACAGTAATGCCTCGACCACTATATTAGATTTAAGATACCACAAATTTTCGCAAAAGATTACCGATTCCTACATAAGAAGATGATTCGCGAGGGTATTGAAATCACAAAACATCGTAATTTCAACAGAAAAGATTACTGGATGCTACCATCTATTTGAGATCCTATAATTATAAAATTAAATCCCAACCCAAGCATACCCTTGCAAGATTTCAACATATTTTTTATGTTCCTTCTGCGTAGATTGGAATAGAAAATATTAATTTTAAACTCCTCAGTCTACCTCAATCAGATATAAAATAAGTTATTTAATGATATAAAAACTTAGTTTCATTCAATGTGTTGTGTTCCCGTATACATAATAAATCATTATAAAATAACTATATGTACAATACACACACGCACATGCACACGCATGCAGACACACGCGTTTAATAATGATATAAAAATAATTAAAAAATTCTTAATTCTATTGGCTTTACTGTAATATATTTTTTTATTTTAAACATAAATAAAGTCTATAAATCTTATTCACTTACTACTTACCCGAATAAAGTAAAATAGAAATAAAATAAAATAATCCCTGTTTTGTAAGGCAATAATTTGAACATTTACTGAAACTCGGGGTTTCAACTTTGTGGGGTTGTAGTTCTATAGATAAATCACATTAATAGGAACAAAATTTTCTTGTTTTTAAGCAATGAAGTTCTATTGATATAAATATCACAGTTAACAAATTCATAAATTTGAGCGACACATATATATTCTTTACGCAATGCATGAAAATAATTTTAGTAATTTACCAATTGTGCTGTAGCAACTCAACCAAATGCAGATTATTTAATAAAACGAAAGAATTTAGTATATTACATAAATATTTATTGCTATATTTTTTTAGAAAAAACAGTTAAAAGTTTTTTTACAGTATTCTTCGCGAGTAAGGTCCTAAATATTTATTCTACCCTAAATATAAAAAAGGAAAAGCCGAGGAGGCACAACTGCTCGTCATGTCCCATGTTAAATTTATGATCCTTCACAATCCTTACGTGACTTTCAATACATGCTGTGTAAAACAAAGGCTGCGAAACTGTAAAGGACCTACTTTATTCCTAAAAAAGTACAATTCATAGGTGTGATTATTTTAGTTCTTAAGAAAATAGTTTTTTTTTATTTGTCGATCACAATAAAACCCATGTGTGGTAGATTAATGGTATTATAAAACATGAAATTATGATAAATTTATCAGCCTTTACAAATTCATTGCTGCATGTAAACCTCCTCGATAATGTGAAGTTTTGACATAATAAAAGACATCGTACCTACTATTTGATTCAAATAGGAATAGATCTGACATGGAGCCATACTTGGACGTCATAGTTGTCAAACCAAACTAGTTAAATAAAGTGAGCAAAACAGATATTTTTTGAAATAATATTTATTTACAAATAAATACAAAAGAACCATGAAATAAAAAGTTTTTATCGGAATTTTGCACTTCAATAATTTATTTTTTATTCAACATTCACATGTTGCCGACAATGAAAACAGAAAAAACGGTTTTAAATTATTTTTAAAACTAATTATGACTGCAATACATTTGATAATAATTGGACTCAAAGTGGAAAATTAATTTTCTTTGCAAGCCGTAATTTTCAAGTGACAGTTGACAGATCGTTATCATTCGAGGTCATTGAACGTTACTTATTCTTATTTAAATCCCAATGTACACCCACTAGCAATGCTGTTTCAGAATGAACCAAAGCTAGAAATATTATTTGGTTAAGTACTAATATCTTCACCAAATATCTAATCCGCTATCCAAACACCGCGTTTAGTTTTGTTTTTATTAATTTCATATATTACATTTATTAATTAAACATTGCATTATGGTACAATCATAAGTTTATGGAAACTTTACCGTGTAACGGTATAGTAGTTTGTTTATCGAATTAAGTGGTAGGAGTAAACTACAACAGTTTACTCCTACCTCTTAATGCGATCACATATTCGCCACTTTCCGGAACGATTTATACAAATCCTTCTCACAATATATTCAAAAACACGTGGGAGCCACGTTGCAGCTATTTTTTTTAAAGACGTTACACCTACACTAGGATTTTATGCTGTATCGTGGGGGCAGTTTACAAACATAAATTGCACAAGGACAAACATCTAGACCCGGAACAATTATTTGTAGGCCATACAAATACTTGATCCGTGAGGGATTCGAACCCGCGACCCCAGCGCAGCCACTCTTAGCTAAGCCACTGCGCCACGGAGTCGTCAAATTATGGCTTCAGTACGAATAGATTGGCTCAACTGATGTAGTACTACGCCTCTGTTCTTATGGTGAGTATGGAGACCGGACTAGATCCAGAGACCACTTTTATTAGTAACAAAGCATTCAATTTGTCGTCAGGGGTGATGACAAATATCTGGATATTGATTCGTAATCAAGTGTAGATGTAGATGTATATTGGCCTCGACATCCACCATCCATACCATGAGGTTGAATGACCGAGATACCGGGCATTGATGTTTTCAACGACTCTGCCCGATGCTTAAAAAAATTGACCAATTTCTTTTCACCCTCTCAGCACACATTCATTCCTTAGTTAGTTTTTTTCCTAATATAAGTTGTTTTGTATTCAGTACCATTATAATATAATAAGCTACACATTACGGTAAATGTTGTGTATACTTATAATTGGCAAATATATTTAACCATATACATTTGTTATTGTGTTGTTGTTAATGTTTCATGTGTTTTGCTGTTGGTATACCTTGTAAATAAATAAATAAAAATTAATTGATTTAAAAAGGCAAAAGCAGTAAATTTAACAATACTTTTTATACCGAATAAATTTTTATTGTTCAAAAAAATTTACGAGCTACCTATGTATGTAATTTTGTCTTCCCTTAGCCACATTAAACTCCGCTCTCATTATCTGCATGGGCTCCTAAATAATGAATGAATATTTAAAAGTAAAAAGTAAAAGTAAAATGACTAAAAAAAGAAACTTCGTTTAATTTGACTAAGAATCAAACTGGCATTTACTCCCAAAAGTCTACGAAAGACACACCACCGTCGATAATAAGATATCTCCTATAAACGGGGCATAATCAGGAGAAATAGATTTGGCTTGGCGATAGCTGACCGCTAAGTGATCCAAACTCAGAGAAAAAATCACCCAATTCCATAACCATTTGTGATGCAAAGTACTCAAAACTATGGGAATTAAAAATAAAAATAAACGCAATAAAATCAATAACATTAGTTTTATTCAAAATTCACTCCTATTTACCTGTCTAGTTGATTGCGTCAGTTATTAATGAAAAGTTTAATCATTTTCAGAGTTTGCAGGTTGCAGGCTAACTGTATTAAATATCGGTATCGTTGAAAATCATCGGTATGTGTACTTTATTTTAATGTGTATTAACTATGTTACTTTGTTAGAAAGTGATCGTAGTTTAGAATTAAATCTAAATATTGGACATAAAAAAATTACTTAATTTAAATAAGTCGAAAACTAGTGGATTGCCGCAAAATTATACATACAAGTGGCAGTTTTGTTACTTTAATAAGTTTTGCG